TGCTGCTTGGCCTGCTGTGTTCATCCAGCCCTGCACCTTGTTGTCTCAGACCAGGTAAGGGTAGCAGTTTTTCCCTAAAGGACGTTAGTGAACCAGGTGGGTTTTTCCGACAATCGACAATGGATTTGTGGTAGATTCTTAAATCCAGATTTTCAAATTCCACCATCTGCCAAGGCAGGATTTGAACCCAGTTCCACAGAAAATTAGCTGAGTTTCTGGATTAATAGTCTAGCAATAATAACACTAGGCCGTTACCTCTCCAGTGTCAGAACAATGAGGGAACAATATGGTCTGAATAGTCCCCTGTGAGTAAAGTTTGACCAAGTCTGAATTTATCTATAGTATTTTGCTTCGGAGCAAGTCAATACTTAACATTGTATTTGATACTCATGTGGAATAAAGGTGGGTAGAATGGGACATAGTGGAAGGGTCATCAATGCCATTGCTACTTTGTCTTGTTGATTTTGTTGGTTTCAACTTTTCCAATGAATTTTAGTCTCTAAACCAGAATTGAAAATGTATTAGATAATTGGTTTAACTGAGCCCAAGTTTTGTGGTGATCTGACTAATTTCTGGACAAACCTATTGTAGACGGCACTAGTGTAGAGTCTGATACAGGACTCTCTGACAATCTCAGACAGCATCACTGCTGGAGTGAATAGTTATACGTTGGGCATCAAAAATCCTTTATGCTGTTAAATGAATTTGCCATTTGAGTGCTAAATGAAGTCCAGCTCATTGATTTAGTTCCTTGACCATTCAGAATCTGACCTATCCAAGAGTAAAAGGATTTTTATACAGAACAGTGAAGAATATTTGCAAATGGAAAATCAGATTTATTAAATGCTAAATATTTTACGTATCCAAACACACATGTGGCTTTTCTATAAAGACAAAGACAAATAATCCATAACAATACTTTACAGAATTCAGTATTACAATACAGTATATTGAAGTTGCATGTATTCTGACTATTTTAGGCAGCACATAACAAATAATTGTAAGAATGTATAGCGTGTGTTTGGTAAGTCCTACAGTTAAACCCTCTGTTTTGTATTTCATTGATTTAGGAGGATGCCAGACCCCAAACTCCAACTCTTGCTAAACATTTTCTAGATTCCAATGAGGGCTTGGGACCTGCACCATATGATCCAGTGTGAGTCCATTCAGTGGGACCTTAAAGTGCCACAAAAAATATAATCAAATAAAATTAATTGAATGCAAATTCTTCTTTTAAAATGTCTAACAAACAAATTAGTTGTAAATGGAATTTCTGGTTTCTTTTGTTGGTATAATGTTTTGTTGGGTATGCTTCAGTTTTTAAAAAAAGTCTTGAATAAAGTATGTTCTATTGAAAGAAAGTTCGGGAAGAACCCAACTGTGAGTTCATGTCAATGTTATTACTCAAATTTGAAACATTGAGAATTGTAAATGATAGTTTTCTCTAATCCTCGAGCTGTTACAGCACAGAAGCAGGCTGTTTAGCCCACTTAGTCTACACCAATCAGTTGTATTCCTCTATTGAATCACAGTAACCCTGCAAGCTTAATTCCCTCAAATGTTCATCCATTTACCTTTTGAAATAATTCATTGTCTCTACTTGCACGACCTTCATAGGCAACAGGCTTCAGGTCATTAAAAAAAAGGCTTTTTCTTCATAGTCCCCTGTGTAACTTGTCCATAAACTAAATTTCATGTCTCTTAATTCTTGTACCATCAACCAATGGAAACAGGTTTTCTTTATTTATCTTCTCTAAATCTATCATATTGTTGAACATCTCTATCAAATCTCCCCTCAATCTCCTTTGCATCAAGGAAAACAATTCCAGGCTCTCCAGCCTAATCTCCTGGCTGAAATCACTTATCCGTGGAACCCACCTGATAAATCTCCTCTTCACATTCATAAGGATCTGCATATCCTCCTTTTTAAAATGTGGTTACCAGATTGGTTGCAACACACTATTTGTAATGTGCCAGAGTTTTATCATAGTTCGACATAACTTCTCTGTTTTCGTACTCAAACCCTGCACATTACCTGTATCATTTCCGCTTTTAGTAATATTTTGGAAACCTCCTCTTCCTTAGTAATTCCTGACACAAGGTACTCATTAAGTATTCCAGCCTTGCCCTATGCCTGTATGTATATATCACTTCTTGCTACTGGGCCCCAAACCACCTCTTGCCACCCACATAAAATTTACATTCTGGTAGAAGATTTGGGGTTTCCTTTGATGTTAACTTCCATTTTGCTCTTGCTTTGTCAGTCTCATTTTCTCTTAAAATTACCCTCACAACTTATTAACTATGGCCTGTTACTCACTCGAGTTTGCATGCAAAACAAAACAAAAAATACTCACTGTATTTAGGTACATGTGACAACAATAAGTCAAATCAAATTAAATCAAAGAAGATTTGACGTGCATCAGACAACATTTTCTCAATTGTCCTTTGTCTGTCCAACTGTCTTTCTCTCTCTTTGGGCTCTGTCCTATCGTTTACTCATTACCCCATCCACCTCCCTATTTTCTGCATATAAAATGACGTTTTCCCAGCCACCATCAGTTCTGAGGAAGGGTCACTGGATCCGAAACGTTAACTCTGTTTTCTCCTCCACAGATGCCGCCAGACCTGCTGAGCTTTTCCAGCAACTTTGTTTTTTTTCTCATTCTATTTCTATTTCTCTCCTGCCATCGACTCGGATTAAGTTTTCTGCCCTGTCAGCCTCATTAGAATGTATATAGCTGTAGCTGATCCATTGTTCTGTCAAACCTGAATGCATTTTACCCTGCCTGGATCCCATCTTATCACATTGAAATTATCTCTATTACAGTTTAGAGGGTTGAATCTACCTTTTGACTGTTCCTTACTCTTCTCCAATACTAATCAAAGCCAAGATCCAATTATCAGTCTTGAATGATCCAATGAAAACTCTTGACCCTATTTCATTGTTGACGTTTCAGGTCTGGACCCTTCTTCAGAAACATCAACTTTCCAGCTCCTCTGAAGCTGCCTGGCCCACTGTGCTCCTCCAGCTCCACACTATGTTATCTCTGACTCGAGCATCAGCAGTTCTTACTATCTCTGTTCCTATTTAATTCCCTAGTATTAGATCCAGCAGTGCCTCCTGTCTAGTTGGGTAGAGAAATGCCATTCAAGGAAGTTCTCCTGAACACCCATCAGATATTTCTCCCGCTCCTTACCCTGTGCTCTAACATTATCCCTACAAATATTAGTGTAATTATAGTCCCCCAGTAGCACCAACCTGTAGTTCTTACAAGCAGCAGGCCTGATGTTACCTCATATGGTGCTCCTTCCTTCTTTGAAACTATCTGACACTCATACTCTTTTATGCAGCTTATTCCTCTTTTCTATTTTGACATGTTGGTACTCACCTCCCTGTTAATTTAGTTGAAAAGTTCCCAATTCCAGTAGAGAACTCCCCGAAAGTATATCGCTTCAAATCCTGTTGAGATGCAAACTGTCCCTTTTGAATACTTCTGCATCAGAACTGGTCCCACTCTCCCAAGAATCTGAAGCCCTGTACCATGCCTTGAGCCACATTTTATCCCTCCCTATCTTCACATTTCTACTCTGAGTAGTTTGTGACATAAGATTACTACCTACAAAGCCCTACTTCCTCCCTAGCTTCTGAAAATCAGACTGTAGGACCTCAGTGCCTACCCTTTCTCTCTGTAATGTATATACAACTTCTAGCTTAGTCACTTCCTCCTGCAGAATATTCTGCACCCTCATTGTAATCTCCAGGCACGAAAGAGGCAGCACACCACACAAGACTTGTGATGACAGTTATGGAAATGTCTGTCTGACCCTTTGACTAATGTTCTTTCTAATTTTTTCCATCCACATATGCAGCTTTTGTTTCTTTGCCATACTCAGGACCATTCTTTTGGCTTCTTGAAATCTTGCCGTTGTTTAATCTCCCACGCCCTCCACCCTATCACAGATACTCCCCCTCTTATTCTGGCTGCCCCATTGCCTCACAGTTTTGTCTTTGTTCTGATAAAAGATCACTGACCTGAAAGGTTAGCATTGATTCAGTCTACGATGCTGCCTGAACTGCTGAGAATTTCTAGCATTTTTAATTTTTGTCAACTAACATGCTAATTAGTAACAATCTACTGCAGTGTTTTGATGATATGAGCATTTCCAGAGAATCTATGAAAAGAAAACTTATATTTAAACTCTGCCTTTCACCATCTCAGGATGTCCCAAGATGCTTCAAAACCAGTGGGCTACAATCATCCCTCTCTTTGCACTTCTGATATTAGCCTAAAAAGTAGCATCCTAAATGAAAATCATTTTCACACGATAAAAAAACTTCATAAGGATGAATTACAACCCTGAGCTGTAATTTTTATTTTAAAAATCTACTGGCTGCCTTGAAATTAAATGATGCCAATATCCTCTGCAGAACTCTTAGTACCTGATATTTACTCTTATACCTTCAGCTTGCCATTTCCTGCTTCCACTCACTGCCTCTCCTGAATTGTCATTTCCCTCCGGACACGACCTACTTGTGGCCTCTCCTGAACACAACTGATTCCGTAAATCCTTGTGCCCCTCCTCCACTCTGGATCCATACCTGGCAATGTGAGCCACTGAAGCTTTGCTTGGATAACACCAGTCAAACCAGAGATTTCTCCTCCCAAACAAACATCTGTGCTCACAGAGCTGTCAGTCATTCAGAAACCACTCACCTGTTTGCAGCAAGTCAGACAGACTCCACAAATGGAGTTTCCTTTCCTCCAACATCTCCTCCTTACAAAAAATGCTCACTCTTTCTCTTGATATGCTGGGAAATCTGCCAGCTAATCAGTTGTTTCCTTGTGGCCTGGCTGACCACATCGAGGAGGATGAGGCATCAATGGAAATCCAGTCATGTGCGGCCTCCCAGCTTTATGAAGCACTGATTGGCAGAACAGCAGAAAACTATCCAAATGTCTTGTGCGTGGTCTTAATAATCAAGTATTTGGCCATGCAGGTACCTAACTTAGAGGAAATTAAGCCTGTGACTATGGAATCTCTTATAATGGCTGCATCTCCACTCTTTGCTGTTCTGTGCTGAGAAGCCCCTTGGCTATTTGTGCCACATACTGCATTCCTTCGAGGCTTCACTCTCCCAGCAGTCTCCAATGTTGAATAAAAACTGAGAATGCTGGAGAAACTCAGCAGGTTTGGCAGCATTTGTAAACCCTCCCATGCCAGAGTGGCAAACATCCAGAAGACTCCTGCACTTCCACCTGTTTCCCACACTTCCATGTGGCCATCCACCTATAATCCTAAACTCTCCCTGCCAGTGGGGCGGTAGCTCCTGGAATGGATGATTCAGGGGTCGTCAGGCACTGCAGTGGCTCCAGCTTCCCCTCAACCTTGAAAATCCTGAGCACTTCCTAAACAAATGGTCCCCAAACAAACAAGAATTGTCCTGCAGCATCCACATGATGCAGGAAATGCAACAATTTCAAGATTCCAATTGCTCATCCATAAACTTAAAATAACATTCCCTTTTTTAGAATCTAAATTGTATACATGGATAAACAATTTTAATTAATGTCCGTAGATCTCTTTTGTATTCATTCTGTCATGCTTAATGTTACACATACACCAATTGAAATGTTATTAAGTATGGAGATATTATAGATATTTTAAACTACTTTGGCTAGACAGAGTTAAGGAGAAAAAATTTCTCATGGTGGGAGAGCCTGGAAATGTATAACACTTTCTGTAAAAGGCTGTGGATCATGAATCAGTTGAAATCTGCAAGAATGAGAACTTTCATAATAAAGATGTCAAGGACTGCAGATCAAAGATGAATGGGGTTGAGTTACAAATCAGCCCTGATCTAACTGAATGGCAAAGAAGACTCGAGGAACTGAATGGCCTATAGACTCGACAAATGTATCAGTGTAAAATTTAAGGTCATGTGCTAGAGTTGTGACTCAAGACCCTTTTTGATACTGTAGGTTCATCAATAGCTATTTACACTCTATATATGTAACAATAAAAATACAATGTCATGAATTTAAAAACCATGTAATATTTAAGTTGAATGTTGAATACTTTTGTTATTAATGAATTACATAACAGCATCATGGACAATTTTCATCTTGATTCCATAATGGTATCTGTAGCAAGGTTTGGACTGGAACAGTCCAATGAAATTGATGATGTTAATAAAAACTTACGCAAGTAACAGAAATAGTTTATTCTAATAATATTTCAACATCCGAGAAAGTTTTCTGTGAGCTCCTAAAGGAGTACTGCCCCTTTCATTATTGACATATACTTTCAACAGTCCCAGTGAAGTTGGATGCTGGGAATACAGCCTCGGGAAATTCTTTGAAAAGTAGACTTTAGAGTGTGATATTCTGCTTGAGTCTTGATATTTTGGACAAGGTATTAAAGTTATATCAACTCCATGACTGATTTCCTTTCAGAGCTGGTTTTGTGGTATTCTATGATTTTCTCCTGGGATTGGATCCTACATATCGGGTTTGCCGTCTGGTGGTGGGCCTTTACCATGGTGGACAGGAAATGGGCGATTCCTCTCCACTTCCAGCTGTCTACTGCGATATTGACAACTCAGCAGCCTATTTTCCAGACGCTGGTGGAGGCAACAGAGCAATTGTGGCAATGAAGCAAGTTGTGCGGAGGTGTTTATTAGCATTGGCCCATACTTCAACATAATAAGTCCCCTATTTAATTTATAAATAATGTATAAGAATCATAAATGGACTATTTTGTGAGACAAGCTGCCATTTAAAACTTGGTTTTTTCTCACAGTTAAGAATGGATCAAACTTGAATTCTCAGTACAGCAATGAAATAACACTTCATAAACTGTTTTAAGGTATTTGTGTGGTTAGCTGATAAAAGACTGGTAATCTGGTTCTACGGGGAGAAGGCATGAGAGTGGGGGTTGAGAAACATATCAACAATGATCAAATAGCAGAGCAGACATGATGGGCCAAATGGCCTAAATATGCTCCTATATTTTTTGAGCTTATGTTTGGTCATATCGATGGGTGGTTAACTGGCTGGCTGGTTAAATGTTTTACCAGCTGACTGGGTGGTTGCTGATTGGTTGGTTGCATTTCGATATCATGAAAGTAATGGAATTAATATTCATGGGTGCAGGCTAATATAAATAAGAATAAATAAAACTTCAACAAGTTTGTACTCCTAAAATGTTTTTAATGTGGATGCAACAGTACTTTAAAAATAATAGGTAATTGCAAAAATATTCAAAGAACCTTCCTGTCACAATGGTCCTGAAAGCAGTGTATTTTGGTTTATTTTGCCCATATTACATGAAGTACTTTAACCAATCCTTTTCCTAAAAGCCATCCATCATTTTCAAAGGAAGATGAGACTGATGAGCTGTCTTTTGAGCTCTGGGATCTCAGCAGCAACACTGTGGATCAATACAATACCTCGTTTGCTCTTCTTTATGGGAGTAGGATAACATGGAAACGAGAAAGAAAGAATTTAAATACATGAATTTAAATTCACTTCATGTCTTCATAGCATCCCAAAGTATTTTACAACCAATGAAATCCTTTTGAAACATAGTCACTAATGTAATGTAGAACTGTAGCAGTCAATTTACACAAAACAATATCCCATAAACAACAATGAGATAAATGACCCGATAATCATTTTTTCATTGTTAGTTGACAAGTAAAAGTTAGTCAGGACATTGGGATAAGTTCATGTCTTTTTAAATAGTGCTGTGGAATCTTTTGCAACTACCTGAAAGGGTAGCTGGCCTCTTGGTTTAATGCTCAATCCATGAAGTAGCATCTCCGATAGTTCAAGCTCCCTCAGTACTGCACTGGAATGTCAGCCTAGTTTTGTGCTCAAGTCTCTAGAGTGGTGTTTGGACCCACATTCATCTAAATGAAAAATGTGAATATTATCACTGAACCAAGGACAAGAACCTACAAACTGGGTCTTAAGCTGAGGTCTATGAGTACGTTGTATGCTGAGCCATTCAATCAGATAATGACATTAGAGACTGGAAAATAAAAGAAAGAATGGAAAAGTAGATGCTAATATTGCATGATTTGAGCATATTAAAACAGATATTAGTCATCTTATTCCATGTATTCAATTAATCTGGTTTGTTATATGTCAGGGTCCGTCCATCTCCTGGAATTAGTCTTATAATGGAGCTACAGGCTTCTGGGGGCTGTGATCCCTATGGACAGGACATCAACCGTCTCATCTCACGAGGCTGGATCAAGATTGATATTTTTGACTCCCAGAATCGTGTGATCAGTGGCCGATGGAAGGTTCCAGTTCGAGTTCTTCCAGTTAAACCATCCATGACCACCAGTGAATTAAATGGAGTGCCTCAGGTAAAATAGTCTGGATAATGTCGGAGATGGTCAAAGTAATTGATGGTTTTAAACTGAACTGTGTTTAGATTGACTGCTGAAAGTAGGTGACAGGGTTAGTAATTTGCATCAAGTGTATGGTTTTTAGTAAATTAATGAAAATGACCCCAATGTGCTGTTTAAAATGATAAAAGGACTTGGCAAGAGTAGATGCCGAGAAGCTGGGTGTAAAGTGCTGTGGGAAAAAGTTACTGGAGACCTTTAAAAGGGAGCTGACAATCTCCGGAGAGGAGAGGACACTTCAGTTATATTGTTTGATACAAGTTAGCTGTGATTACGAGTAAGAATGGGGTCCCACGGTCTATCAGGGCCATATTTAATTGCCCTGGGGAACTAGAAATGGAGTTTATGAATTGGTCATACTCTTTCTCACCGTGTTTAAGTGTTCTCTATGGATTGACTCTTGCTTGGTAGTCATTTTTTTACCCACTTCTTTTTTCTTATGTTCATATATTAATCAAGCTGCTATAATCAATCGTGTGAAAGAAGCCCACCTGTATTTGTGTTGGGCTGGTAGACTAGCCACAATTACCATAGCAGTGTCCAAATGCAGTTGTATACAATTTGTTTGATATTTTTTGCTACTGTTAACGTTGAAAACAGTGGATGAATGCTTCACAAGGTCTCCTTAACATGAGCTGGAAGTCATTTGGAAAGGGGAGGCTTCAGTTAGCTCACCTCCACCTTCTCCAGGACAATTAGCAACGTGCAATAAATGCCACCCAACCAGCAATGCCCACATTCCACAATGTTATATTAAATGTTTAAAAAAACAGCTTCTATCAACTGCTGTTTCTCCTATTATTACCATGTAAAAACCGAAAGAACTGCGGATGCTGTAAATCAGGAACAAGAACGGAAATTGCTGGAAAAGCTCAGCAGGTCTGGCAGCATCTGAGGAGAGAAGTCAGAATTAACATTTTGGGTCCAGTGACCCTTCCTCAGAGTCAGGGCACCGGACACGAAACATTAACTCAGATTTCTCTCCTCAGATGCTGCCAGACCTGCTGAGCTTTTACAGAAATTTTTGTTTATTGTTCACCATGTGTCTAGTTACATATCTGTGAAGAACTTTGGGAACTTTATCTAACTTAAAGGCACAATATAAATGCTGATGTTGTTAAATAGCGCATCACTGTTAATTTTAAATTGTTTATATTCAAAAATGCTTTGAATTGTTCAGCAATTCAAATGACATACTATAGTTGAACTAAATTATTAGAAAATAGCACAAGAGATGAGGTTTTTTTGTGCCACTGAGTCATAATAATTCAAATGCACCAACTTTGAATTCAGCGGAACAGTTTGTTTATGGAAGTGTAAGACATTATGGTGAAATTCAATAAACATTACCTAAGAAAATGAGAAAACCAAAGAACTGCAGATGCTGGAAATCTGAAACAAAAACAGGAATTGCTGGACAAAAGCAGAATCTGTGGTGAGAAAGCAGAGTTAATGTTTTGGGTCCAGTGGCCCTTCTTCAGAGGTAGTAGGATTATTTTTGAATATATTAATCAAAATTACAATGTGATAAATTAATTTTCTGCCAGTTTATTTTGTCTTTTCTTTATAGTTGGAAAATGTGGAATTATACCTTCGTTTAGTCAATGCAAGAGATGCAAATGTCCAGACAACTGCAGCCATTGATTCCAATAATGCTACACTGTATAAATATCCACCACTGGTATGTAAGATTTCTTCACAATTTCAAACTTTAGTCTGTTCATACCAAGTGAGTATATAAACCCCAGTTTTTTCAGTGCATTGAAACATAGGAATTGTGGCCATAGAGATGACCAAGTCTCATCTGATTGATCTTCTACCATTCTGGTAAGCAACTTGATTCTTAAGATAATGGAGTTCTTGACTAATCATAGCAATCAATCTGTATTATATCTGTACACACAGAACAAGACATGATAAACGTAAAACTCCAGTGATGGAACTTTTGGAATCCTGGGCTCAAAATCAATCGTTTTTCTTAGCACAGTACACTTAGCACATATCCTTTGCTGATTTACTCATATGCTCTATTCTAAAGTATTATCTTCTAGAAGAAATCTATCTCATTTCTGTTGAAGGCACCAGTCCCAGTTCATGTGTGGGATGAACTTCCTGAGGAAGTGGTGGATGTGGGTACAATTACAACATTTAAAAGACATTTGGATAAGCACATGACTAGGAAAGGTTTGGTGGGATATAGGCCAGGAGCAGGCAGGTGGGAATAGTTTAGTTTGGGATTATGTTCAGCATGGACTGGTTGGTCCGAAGGGTCTGTTTCTGTGCTGTATGACTCTATGACTATGACTTTTCTTCAGAAAGAAGGTCATATTCCACACTATTCAAAGATAAATGGAGTACATTAAAATAGGTGAAAAACTAAAAAAAAAACTGAATATTATTCAAAATCCAAAATAAAAACTCAAAATATTGGAAATTCCCAACTGTGAGGCAGCATCTGTGTAAAGAGGAACATCAGGTATTCTTTTAGGTTGAAGACCTTTTTATTAGAAGCAGACAGTGTTCTTCAGTGGCTTATTTGGAATATATTGCCACTGTTGAACTGAGCCTTATTGATCATAAATGTGCCACATTCTATCTGTAATTTGTGATGTATTGACTGATCTCAACTTCATTTACTCTGAATGCCCTTTTTCCAGAAAGAAGAAACAATTCTGATCCTTGTGCAAATGATTACAGCAACACAAACTTGCATTTATAATCATAGAATCCCTACAGTGTGTACCCTTTCAGGTCACCACACTGCTACCAATTTGCCAACCACTATGCTGAGGGAGATCTTCAATTGGACATAACATGACTATTTGGGAAGTGGAATTTGTGAAGCTTTCTTCATGGATCATTCCTGTAACTCTCTGGAGTGAGTGTCATTCTAATTCCTTTTGTGCCATTTAACTGATGCCATCAGTTGAAGTTTCACTGAAGGACATGCCACAGATAAACACATGCAACATGAAGAGCATAGTGAAGAGAATTTGGTTATGGCTTAACTATTTTTCCATATCAATGTTTTTAAATGATGATATTGACCTCTGGCACATTTATAAGGCAATGGGAGGTGCTTCAAGGTGGTGTCTTATTCAAAATGCACAATATTTGAATCTTTCATATTAGTACAGTACCTTTGCAATATGCCTTTCTGGATTCCTTGTTTGGAGAGCGGGTTGAAAGGCCATGTGTTGTACTGTCATAAATAAACAGCATAAGTGGTCCGAATTGAACTCAGGATGGTATAAGGAAGTTATTAATTACGTGGATTAAATATTGTCCTGTTTTGTTTCAGGCATCAGCACGCACTACTATTCCCATTGATGCTCCATTCTCGTCTTATAATTCATCTTATCGTTACCCAACTATGCAACTGGTCTATCCCTCTTTTGGCGAGACTGTGGACCCTCCACCTCCTTCTGCTGATATGATGGTACTTCAGTGTTCTCCCTCAGCCAGAACTCAATAATGCTGATTCAAACCCACCAGTCCCAAGACAAAGCAAAATTCAAAATACGAAAAAGTATTCCACTGTTGAATGATATTAAACAGCAAAAATTGTGAAAACTGAACAGAACTTCCATTAGTGACACTTGTGAGATCTCTTGGGGCATTGCTCGTGACTAGTCAGAGATTTTGCTGAAGTGTAATGTCATAATGGAACAACATGTGCAAGATATGTGCTATGCACAGGGCTTTTAAGATAATTAATATACATGAGCTCAATATAAGACCTTATAGACCAATTAGAGTTGGATCTCCTATCCCAAACCAATAGAGTTCGGCAACTGGGCCAAAATACTCAGATTAAAAGAACAGTGATGAACCTATGTAGAAAATCTTGCGACAGGTTCTTGTTCTATGTGACTAATCTGTTGGAACTGCATATATATGGATTCTAAATGACAAGACCTGGCTCATTGCCTGCAATCCAAACAGCTAACCAGGGCACAAGACTGGTAACCCATGGCAACCCAAACTGTTGTGTATTGAATGGTCACTTGCAATAGATACCACAAAGGTGACCCCATCGAAAAGAAAACTGTCACATTCTGCAGGAAAGTCGTAGAGTCATACAGCACCGAAATAGACCCTTTGGTCCAACTCGGCCATGCCAATCATCTATCCTAATCTGACCTAGTCCCATTTTTAAGCATTTGGGCCATATCCCTCTAAACCCTTTCTATTCATATACCCATCCAGATGCATTTTAAGTGGTGTAATTTTACCCACCTCCACCACTTTCTCTGGCAGCTCATTCCATACACACACCACCCCCTACGTAATTGATTGATTGATTTATTGTCACATGTACAGAAGTACAGTGAAAAGCTTTGTTACCCCTCAGTTACTTTTTACATCTTTCCCCTCTCACCTTAAATCTATACCTTCAAGTTTTGATGCAGTTTTAAAAAAGTTTTAAAAACAGTCTTTAAAGTGGTTACATGACAGTACTACATTTTATTTCATTCAAATCAAAATCGGGACTTATTAATTATTACAACCATACCAACGGGAGCGATTGAACTGTAAAAGGGGACAACTGGTGAACATTAGGTTAAAGCAATACATCTTAAATAGATTGCTAAGATTTACCTAAGTAGTTTCTCTACTTGATAGCCACACAGAGAGGTGGTGGTGGTTGGTGGGAATACATAGCCACAGTAGTTTCTAAATGTGGATTCTTCTTCTCAGGTGTGAGGTGTATCTTGTTTGAATGCTAAAATGTCAGAGATGCTGGTCAGTGGGACAGCTGATAAGAATAGGACATAGAGAATGACTTTGTTAATTTATCTAACAACTTTCATAATCCCAGGACAACCCAAAGCAATACTTTTGAAGAGTAGTCACTATGGTAATGTAACAAATGCAATAGCTCAGTAAGATCTCGCAAAATGTCGTAATAAGCATATCATCTAAAGTTTTGGAGTAGATCTATAGCTCGGGTTGTGGGTGTTGAGGTTGGTTGGCTCGCCGAGCTGTTTTGTTGTTCCGCAGATGTTTCATTACAGTGCTGGGTAACATCCTCAGTGCAGCCTCTGATGAAACGTCGGTGTGTTTTCCCGCCTGGTTTTTAAA